CTTTAGCATTTTAACCGGTAGATACAAGTAGGTAGAGAGAGAGTAACGTGGTGGTTGCTGGGACTTTGATTCGTTGTATAAAGGAGTGTTACAAAAATTTTCCAGGTTTCGGGTTTTGCTTGTTTAAACGGTAAATGTGTAATATTTTGTATCAGCTTCGCCAGTTTATGTTTAAACACGTATTTGACCCTCAAAGTTATCCACTTTTGTCGGTTTGGTACTTGAAGTTGTAAATTGTTATCGTTAGGTGCTAATTTCCTAATTTCCGCAAAACGAAGTGATAGAACCACAATGAGACCATGTCTTTTCCCTAGTGGAACACCAAGTACTCTCAGAACAAAAACCATCGCCTTCTCTTCCCTGCACGAACAAAGGAGAAGCTGTTTACACCAGGTTGCCAAAGGCAAGCTAAGAATTTCCTGGTATCCGGGACCGGACCGGCTCAAAGGTCACTGATAGCCATGAACTTTCAGTTAGTTTCGACATCGGAACATTCCACGATTAACAAGCTCAACCACCGAGTTCCTCGGATTGCCAGTGTCATCGCTTTTGAAAATCGACATAGTTCCTCAACAGTTTCAAGGGAATGTTAATTTTTTTATTAATGTATCGTATCATTGATGTAACATGAATTAGCATTTTAGTGATCAATTTAGGGTAAATTACACGTTTACTAACAGAATTTTACCATCTCTCTCCTATTTCACTTACTGCAGTTTTAATTTTTTCAATTTGTTCACTGAACTTTAGACATTGAACTTTTTTGGTCACTCGATTGTTTACTCCGTAATAGGGTGCTCAGGTGGATTATTTTAATAATAAAACATGCCACATAGGACATATAATTAAAAAGATAAATTACACATTTACTCACTGAACTTTACTGTATCTCCTAATTTACTCACTATGCTTTTAATTTTTTTCAATTAATATAGCAAAGTCATAATGCCTTTAGAAATTTAACGGCCGAGTGATAAAAAGTTCAATGTCTAAAGTTCAGTGAGCAAATTGAAAAAACTAAAAGTATAATGAGTGAAATAGAAGAGAGAGTAAATTTTAGTGAGTAAGCTTGTAATTTACCCATAACCGATCAATAATATAAATTATCTAAAAATAACAATTGAAAGTTGAGTGTCCAAAATCAGAAGAAAATGTAACAAAAACGATCAGCACTGTAGTTTACCCAAAAAATGTTGGTTTTAAACATCCATTTGCAAACCGTCCCGCCACGTGGAAAGCAAGCAGCTGCTTTAGCCTTTGGGAAGACAGCAAAGAAACGACACCGTATGAAAATTGTCAAAGCCTTAGTGGCTTAGGGCGTCATTACAGATTATACCTGATGTCCTTTTGGTAAAATCAGATCTTCATATTGCCTACGTGTCAGATTATGGGTCGTTTATTAGGTCAGCTCCTCACGAGATTCTGGTCTCTGACCTCCCGCAGTTCACGTTCATGCTCACGATTCTCCATAAACATCAAAATAAATAAAAAATAAAAAAGATAAAATACATCAGATATCGTACAACTTTAGGTATCATTGAACTTCTAATTTTATTAATTATAATATTAAATTTTTATTTTCATTTCAATTTTTTCACTAAACTGTTAAATCATTAATAATACGATGACATAACTAATGGTTGTCGACATAATTAATTACTATTGATGTGGCTGCCTGTTATCAATACATCATCAAAACGACGATTATTGATGTGGCTGCCTGTTATCAATACATCATCAAAACGACACCGTTTTGATATGGCTGATAATGATATAACAACCCAGTAATATAATTGAAATTAAAATTTGAGTTCAATACTATAATTGATAAAATTAAAAGTTTAGTGGTATAAATGCAACAATACCTGAAGTTCAGTGATATATTATGTAGTTTACCCAAACAAAAATCCGGACCTTTATTTCTCCACTGAGTTCGTTGTTCCAGCTCAACTCCAGCTCATCTCGGTTCTTCAGCTCTGTTCTCTCTCTCTCTACGTATATAATTATCTTTCTTGATTCCATGGGACGGAATCCACCACGTCATCTCTGGTACCTCAATCATCAATCGTTTATTCTGTAGAAAAATTGAAGAAAACGAAGAAAAGAAAATCGAATCATTGTTGGTTTCTCTGTTCACTTTTCCTTTTGGCCTATGAATCAAATGGCTCTCTGCTGTTCAATTTTGCTCTTTTTAGCCCTATCGTTTCTCGTTTCTTCACTTCACGCTAGTGAAGGTGATGCCGATCCAATTTACAAGTAAGTTCATTCGGTTCACTTATCTTGATTCGCAGCTTCATTTATATAGATTTCAATTATTTCTGTTTTTTAAGGAAAATTTGATGAAAATTAATTGACGAGCAGTTGATAGAAGAATATTCTTGTTAGAAGAACCCATAATTGTAGTTTTTTTATGCTGTTTGGAATAATTCTATTATCGGTTAGTTTAATGACCTTATCTTCTCTTTTTCTGGTAAATTTAACTTGATTCGTGATTCCTAATTCCTATGCTGTTTTTATTTATTTGTTGATTTTCTCGGTTGTTCATTTATTAGGGCTTGTTTGGGTGAGTGTGAGATAAGTGGGTGCGTGGGGAAAATTTGTTTCCAACACTGTAAATTCTCATCCGATGGGAAACCAATTGATGGGCCATGGTATTTACAAGAGCCGCTCTATCACAAATGGAAGCAGTGGGATTGTCGTGCTGATTGTCAGTACCACTGTATGATTGCTAGAGAAGAACAAAGGGAGAAACGTGGGGATAAACCGATCAAATATCATGGAAAATGGCCTTTTCAACGTGTTTACGGGATCCAGGTTCTCAGAATATCAACTTTGTATCATTGTTATGTTGTTTGCCTTTTTGGATTGTTTTCTTGTTAGTGATGATGTTTTGTTCTGGTGTTTTTAGGAACCTGTTGCTGTTGCTTTCTCCGCACTAAGCCTTGCTGTGCAGTTTCATGGTTGGCTCTCGTTTTTTATCCTTCTGAATTACAGGTTGCCTTTGAGGCATGATAAAAGGACTTATTATGAATATACTGGTTTGTGGCATGTCTATGCCGTCTTGGCAATGAACTTCTGGTTCTGGAGTGCCATTTTTCACTGTCGGTAAGTGATCCTCTTTATGTTCGTTTGGACCCGTAATCTTTACGCATCCACTAATTGTACCTGATCTATTAGGAGCCTGGGTCAGGTTCTTACTCATAGAAGCCTATTTTATGCCTTTAGGAAGTAAATTTGAAAAGTTTTGATCGTGTAATAACAATGTTCATAAAGGAGCAATATTTCTCTGAAAAGAAAAATGGAATGTATAATTGGGTGACAGGTTTTTGAGCCGAGTGTTCTTATAATCATTGTGTAATACAATTGATTATTTTTGTTGTTTTATTTTGTCTGGAGTTATCTAACTTAAATACTTGTAGAGCTGTTGAGTTGACCAAGAAGCTAGATTATTCATCTGCTGTTGCATTAGTTGGATATAGTCTTATTCTAGCAATTCTACGAGTTTTTAATTTGAGAGATGAAGGTTCAAGAGTCATGGTTGCTGCTCCACTGATTGCATTTGTGACAACACACATCTTGTATCTGAACTTCTACAAACTTGATTATGGTAATTCTTTCTTTGTTACCCTCACAAAACAAGATTATCAGCATTCATCACAGTTTGCCTCTAGATTTGGGCTTATGCATACAGTTTTGTTTTGCAATTTTATTTACTTGCACCACATTATAGTTCCAACTTCCTGAATAACAAAATTGCTTGTCAAAACTCAGATTCTGATCGATTTTTACTCCAAAGCACTCGCATGATTCGAAATGGATTTGCCTAATAGCTAGTTTTAATGCATTGTAGCTTCGTTTCTACCATGTTTTCAGTCATCTATTAGGCAGAGCTATTCGTACATCATAAAAAAATTAGACAATCCACTTTATTGTTTTTTGTCATAACTATTTTCGCTATGACCATGAGTTCATGCTGCACCCTATTCATAAACCGGATTTGTTTGCAGGTCTAAATATATATATATTTTTTGCAGGACTAAATATGAAAGTTTGTATGGCCATGGGTGTAGCCCAAATTCTCATATGGGGAGTGTGGGCTGTTGTAACTTGCCATCCATCACGGTGGAAGGTTTGGCTGTTTGTTGTGGGGGGAATCCTTCTTGTGTTCCTGGGAATATACGACTTTCCACCGTACAAGGGGTTTGTTGATTCGAATGCTCTATGGCACGCTATCAGTATCCCTCTTACTTACATTTGCTGGAGCTTTGTCCAGGATGACGCAGAGTTGAGCACATCAACCCTCCTGAAGAAAACAAACTGATATTTCTTCATTGGACTCATGCACTAACCGATCTCACCAGTGATCGACCCCCACCTCTGCAACATTTTGTTTTCCGATGCTCAATGTTTTCTTCGCAATGCAAGGATATTCAGTGTAATTGAAGTCCTTTAGACTCGGGTCTTTGTTTTTTGTCGTGGCAATCGATATATTCACAAAGGCTGTTGTCCGACTTCAACGTAAATTTCTGTATTGTATCTTTCAACTAGCTTGTTTTACTTGCGTTGCTTGATTAGTCAGTCTTGTGTTGTAGGCTATGTTTATCATTTTAACTTGTAATAAGACTCCGAAGTTTAGCTATGTGCCAATGTTTTATATTCTTCGAAAAAGACAGAAGATAAGGCTGGCCCAGATGTATTGTGAAGCCCATTGGATTCGACCTTAACCAATACTTGGGCTACGGTTAGCTTGAATTTTAGGTGTTAATTATGTTTATATTTGGTTCGAAAAGGAATTTTTTTTAATAATGAGTAAAATTTTGGATAATTTTTTAACACATATACTATATATTCGTAAGTTTTTTTTAAAAATGATATTCTTTTTTATATACAAATCTATCTTTTTCATTCCAACAGTTTCCGTACTTCCAAAAATCAAGTACGGGTGCAAAGAGGCAATCGCCGGCGACAATATATTTTCCTACGTACGAATGTATGTATCTATACTAGATGTAAGTTTAAATCGAATAGCTCCACAAAGGTACATAATCATCGGCGGCGTCATTTTCTTCTTGTTCCCATTCGCCATCGTGCCCGCACCGAGGAGGTGACATCATCATACCGGCAGCCATGTTCGCCCAAAATCTTTGTGTCCCAAACAGCGCCTCTTCGTCCCAATAGAGCCCTTTGTCGGACACCGTCGTTTTCTCCATCTCTGTGTTTTCATCGCTCCTTGCTTTGTTTGTAGAGTTGCCATCCGGATGCATGGCCGTTCGGAAAGTCTTCGCCACCTCTGCCGCTGTCTTCTGGATATCCTTCGGGTCGGAAGAATCCGGCAGCGGAAGGTTCCAAGCCGAGTCGGCGAAGTTCAGACAAGCCGACCTTCCTCTCAGGGCAATCGCTGCCACGTCATGCGCACGCGCCGCAATCTCCGGAGTAGGAAAAGTCCCCAGCCAAATCCTCGACTTCTTATTGGGCTCCCTCACTTCGGAGACCCACTTCCCGTGATTCCGCCGGCGGACTCCACGGTACACCGGGTGACGCGTCTCCCGGAACTTCTTCCTTCCATCTCTCTTCTTCGGACAACTCGAAGCTAACATCACTTCTTCGTCGGAAAAATTCGCCGGACGACCAGTTCCACTCCCAGAAACCGACCCGGAATCGACCATATCGTAATCTTGAACTAAGAAATCCATTTCTAAGTTCTAAATCAGGAAAAAAAACCAGCTTAACTTTCAGTAGAACTATCAGTAATCAAGTATTTCCACTTTGGAAATCTGAAAAGGGGATTAATTATATATAGAGAATTGGTTTGGCATAGACAATATTAAAAAAATTGAAGATATTTAGAGAATTAAATACAGTAAAAAAAAAAGGAATTGAAGTTATTGAACACGGAAAATCCAAGGTAGTGGCACTGTACTTGTAGATAGATTCTTAGAGCGTAAGTCTAAGTTTCGGACAAGCTGTGGATCAGCCAGACAAGGGCACGTGGAGATTTTGACATTATGGATTTATCCATTTTAATAAATGAATGAATGAAATCTCTGATTCAAAAGGTTCATCTTCTTCCTTAGAAGTGACAGGGAACACGGGAGGGGCGTACGTGGCGAGTTTATAGGGAAAGCTAACGTAGTATTAAGAACACGCGCGAAAAAAAAGACGAGGTGGCAAAGGAAAAAGCTCTTTTCAGGGTGATGTCATGATTTCCGACACACGGTGGACAGTTAAATATTTTATCTTTTACTAACTGCCCTTCACAAAAGACAAAGGAGGGGCGGTGGCGATGCATCGTAGAAAGTAACCTCCCCCAAGGCTGAAGGCTCCAGTGGTGGTCATTGCCGCGTTACACCCTGTGGACCAATAGTGTTGGGTTTCATAGGACCTATAATTATTGGGTTTTTTTGTATGCTATTATGGGCTAATTTACATATTTTTGCATTTCTAATTTTGGACATTTATGTATATTCCAATTTTTTATTAATATGAAATAATTATAAAATAATATCTGTTCAAAAATAACTCTCAATCATTTGATATTAAACGTTTAAACCTCTAATATTTCTGGTGCTCGAACTCATAACCTTAAAAAACAACAATTCCTTTTCACTTTAAAACACGAGTTATTCATTTAAATTTACAAAAGTTATGTTTGTAAGAATTTAAATAAAATTTATATATATATATATATATATATATATATAGAGGATCTATTTATTTATACTGTGTAAATTATTTTAGTTTTACGAATTTTTAGGATCTATTTATACTGAAGTTTATATACCATTATATTTAATTCAAATTATTTCTTCATCAATAACTTTCCTTTTTTTTTCCCTCTTTTTTACGTTTGCGACTTTATCATTGCAGGTTCCGGAAGAAGACGAGTTCTTGGCTTCCTTGTTCAACTTCGGCAGTCTGTTCGACTGACACCATCGCTTCAATAAGCTAGCTAGTTGATGGCATGTATTAAATTATATACATATAGTTTATGCATGTCCTATATAATATATGGTTTGTAATGTTATATATATGCTTGCAGTTGTGTCGTCCAATTATATCAACAAATATTTAGTATCTTTGCTCATCTTTTTATTAAGATTTATTTTGAATTCTAATGAAAAAAAAAAGCTTAATTAATTACCATATTTTCTTTCTTCAAATTATGGAAATTACTATACATTAGCAACTTTGTCCTCTAAATCTCTCAAAATTTGAAATAAAAAAGTAGCCGTTGCATGATTTTCTTCTATCCAATGCTAATGCCATATGAACCATACTAAATTCTACCATATATTGATCCAAATCTTTGTTGGATTTATTTTACAGTAACAATAGATTTCGAGCATCCTTCGTAGAGTGTTGGATAGATTTTCATAATCATCTCGATGCCATGAATCCAGGTCGTTGTGCCGCCTGTAGATATTTAAGAAGAAAATGCCCTCCCGACTGCATCTTCTCTCCTTACTTCCCGCCCAATGTCCCTCAAAGATTTGTCTCCGTCCACCGCATCTACGGCGCCAGCAACGTCGCGAAACTCCTCCAGGTAAACATCGGTTTTGAGATCAAAACGATATATGTCCATGTGGTCTGAGTTCGATCATCGTGTATGTACACAGCAACTGCCGTCCCATCTGCGAGCTGAAGCGGCGGAATCACTGTGCATGGAGGTGCAGTATCGAATCGAGGACCCCGTGTACGGCTGCGTCGGGCTCATATCATCGCTGCAGCAACAGATACATGATGCGGAGAAGCAACTGGCTAAGACTCAAGCCGAGATTGCGTTTCTGAAATCTCATGCTCAACATTCTCAAGTTGCACTGTTGGACGATGCTGCAAATCTTGGCTTCTCTAATCATCAAGGTTCTTCTGGGTTTATGTAGGGTTTAATATCGAGTGGATAACGCATGATTATGGTGTAATAAAAGTAACTTTGATTAATGCAAAGTTTTAAATATTTATAAATTATGTGTTGGCCTATTAAATCGCATGTTAAATAGATGTGTTCGTAGGCTATGTGTCACCCGATTCTAAAAAAAATTCGAACTACATTTAAATGTCAAATATCATTCAATAAATATAAAACAAAGGTGGTCTAGACAAACCCACTCCATAACCAGTTCCTATATACCTTGCGAGATCTTGGCCTCGAAGGTATGTGAATATATACATATAATATCTATATATATACACACATATAATTGATAATCATTATTGGAAACTTCGACGAGCCTAACTCACATTTATAATATTAGACCCTTACGCAACTAATTTTTTCTTCTTTACCTTTAAGCTTTCATTCTCTTACATTTGACACTTTTTCTCTCTTTTTCACGCTTACTAAAATGGTAGAGCTCTCCCTATTTATAAATTTTAGTGACCATTAACTTGTTGATATATGTCACATCTTAACCATTTAATATTATTAATATCTAGATTCTTCTGGCTAAACTGACGAGATAATGTTGTGGGAAAAATAAATTCACAAGATAATACGTTTTAACAATTAATTGTTGAGATGGGGTGTTTACTACAGTTCGAACGTAGGTCGCCAGGTGATTCGGGAGATCAAGGAGGTCGCCATGCCGTCCCCGCGTCCCACAATGGAAGGTCGCCATGCACGCTGTCTAATTCAAACTTTTTTCTTTAATCTCTTCCTGGGGATTGAACGCTGTTATAAGAAGAAAAAAGAAAGGAAGGAGATGATTGAATATAAGGCAGTCTGCCCCCATTTATTCGAGCACATGGAGTGTTGAGTTAATAATTCACTCTCATGGTAAATTCATCATTTCTACACACCTTTCCTCTATACCTTTTCCATTATTTGTTGGGTGAAACTTCTTTATCCTTTCTCGGCTAAATTGCTGAGATGAGTTTTCAAACCTTTGATAGTTTGAATTAGGCAGCGTGCATGGCGACCTTCCATTGTGGGACATAGGGACGGCATGGCGACCTCCTTGGTCGCTCGGATCACCTGGCGACCTACGTTCGAACTGTAGTAAACACCACATCTCAGCAATTAATTGTTGGAACGTATTATCTAGTGAATTTATTTTTCCCACAACATTATCTCGAAAGTTTAGCCAGATTCTTCTATTAGATAATTCTAGATATAATATTGAATAATACAAATATCTAGATTATTTTATAATTTCTAGACATCTACTTTTTCTATATTAATCTAGAATATTTTCAAGATATATCACCTAAATGACAATTATATATTTATCTATAAGTTGCATTGGATTTCAAGAATTTTGATTTGAAAATGCATATCTAACAGATGATAACTTTGTTTTTCTTTTTATGTTTAACTCAAGCACAAGATGTTCCCAAAAAGATTCTTGAGCATATGGATGTCTAAGGCTTAACAATAGAAATGTGGCCAGCCGTTTACAGGTCCGCTTTTGACTAATTATCTATTTACACTTTCTTAGTGGTTTTACAATATCCCTAAAGTTTCTTGTGGATATGAAAATATTGTAGAAGTATCGGCTCTTCTTAAAGCGAATCGCAGAGAGGGGTTGTTTTCAACCAAAGGCCATGTTCAACAGGTTACCCAAGTCCACTTTCGCAGTTAGCCATTCACTGTTGATGAAAACAGCTGAAGAATACGCTCGACTGCGAGAACTGCAACGATTTAGGGGCTTAACATCGTATCCTGGCTATGGAGGGAGTTACTCGGCTCATAGTGCTACTAGGTATGTAAGCTTCGACTATGGTAATCATGGTGCTTCAAGCAGCGAAACGGTTCAACCCATATGGCGTTGGACAATCCCGTTTATTGTCCCACCAAGCTAACAAGTCACTGCTCCCTGGGAACATGATGAATACGACCTATATCGGTAATTGACCTGGATACGAAAACAGATCAAATTTGTCACTCAACGGTGGATTTTGTATTGGCCTGACGAATTCTTCGAACTCATTGCAATCGTACCCGCAGCAAATTCAACCAAGGACTGGCTTTTACGATGCTAGTTCCTCATCCCAGTTAAGCACCTGGTCTTCATTCTTCCAGTTCGACATTCGGCAGCAACAAGATCTTCGGAATCATGAGCAGTTCCCAGTCCCACCCTAGTCTGAATCCCGGTTACGGTGGCAATACTACTAGCTACGCTGGGATTAGCTTGAATGCTGATGGGCTTAACGGTGTGGCCATCATTCAATTCTGGCTCCAGGAGGGCTCTCTTCTTCGGGAACAAACCAAGTTCCACCAGGGTTTAATGCATCGAACCAACAAGCAAACACCTCGATGCTACCGGGTAATAGCCTATAACAAATGATATCAGACAGATCCTTTAACTACCAGATTTCACACTTAGCGTCTCAGTAGGTCGAGTAAACAGAATAAACAATCGTGATGATAATAGTGATGATATTATCATCACGATATTAGATATAATCATGTCATGTCGTATAGAAGTGTGAGACATAAATCCCGTGTCGAAAATTAAAATGGAGATCATGAAATTCATAAATTAAAATTTTTAATTTTAATTTTATTGTTAATTACACTCTATCTTACTCCATTTTTTATTATGATCTTAGCTAGCTTAAATTATCCTCTCTAAATATGTACGACCTCGAATGAATTTTAGGTCTCATTTTAAATTAACTAAACTGGAATGTCTATATAATAATAATTTATATGAATAAAACCCGAAACTACTCGTAAACATCTCTATTTTTGTTCCTAATTGAATTATTTGTGTTCTATTAGACCATCAAATCAAATCCGAGCCGATTTAATCCTTTACAAGCAGGGTATGTTCGGTTCACAGAATGTAAGATTACCAGTTGGAATAAAAGATTATCAGTTGGAATAAAAGATTACCAGTGGGAATAAAATATTACCAGGGAATATGATTATTTGGAATGTTGTATTTTGTGTTTGGTTGGTTTAGCAAGAATGTAAGATTACCGTGTTTGGTTAAAGGAATAAAAGATTATTGGAATGTATATTTGACCAAATTGTCTTTATTATATATTTGTATAATATTACAAATTGTAAAATATTTATATTTTCTTTAAAAAATTAAATTCATATATTTATATAATTCTTTTTACAAAACAAAAATATAAAAAAGGTTTAATGAAAGGGTAAATTTTTTTAACCCCTGAACTTCGTATAAAATTTTAATTATAAATTTTTTTTGTAAATGTAAAATAATTTAAGGATAAATTTGTAATTTAACCTTCGTAGAATTTTTATTATTAAATGACAGAAGAATGATATTTTTGAAAAAAAATAAAAATTTAAGGGTATTTTAGTCCAAAACGCCGGTAATGTTACAATACCTAAAGGAAGGGAGGTAATAACATTCCCGATAATATACCTAAAAAAACCTACTATTGATAATAAAACATTACAGGGAATGAGATTCTCAGCCAACCAAACATGGGAATATGAGATTCTCATCCCATGGGAATCCCACAATCCTTGAACCAAACCCCCCCTCAGATTATTAGGTATGTCCAATCAAGATTAATAAATACTTTATCTACAGTACCAACTCAAGTAGACCAAATCCTATCCCATAAAAAAACCAAGAAAGATCACAGCATTTAAATTAACATATTCAAAGAGTAATTATCCTACTAATATTCAAATTAAATAATAGATTTAATTTACAATGATCAAAAGTTAAAGTACTTTTATTAGTCAAACTTAAACAAATATTATTTTAGTTTGAAATATACAAAAGTATATAATTATCTTTTAATATTCAAAATTAAAAAGATAAAAAATACATTTTTAAATTAAATTATTAAAAGAGTAATTATCCTACTAATATTTAAATTAAAAATTATCTTTTAATTTGCAATAGTTAAAAGGACTATGAATTTAATATAAATATTAAATCCATCAATTAAATTCACTCCTTTTTCAACAATGCATATAGCAACAAATGAAAGATGATACTCCAACTGCTGAATATGCCCTACCTGCTGAAGATAATTCATCAAATGAGCAGGCATGTTATCATCATTATCATCACTGAAGTTTATTACCATTATGTTTAATTCAAATTATTTCTTCATCAATAACTTTCCCTTTTTTCCCCCTCCTTTTTACATTTGCGACTTATCATTGCAGGTTCCGGAAAAAGATGAGTTCCTGGCTTCCTTGTTCAACTTCGGCAGTCTGTTCCACTGACACCATCGCTTCAATAAGCTAGCTAGTTGATGGCATGTATTAAATTATATATATATATATATAATATGGTTTGTAATGTTATATATATGCTTGCAGTTGTGTCGTCCAATTATATCAACAAATATTTAGTATCTTTACTCATCTTTTATTAAGATTTATTTTTAAATTCTAATGAAAAAAAACGTAATTAATTACCATATTTCTTTCTTCAAATTATGGCAATTCCTATACATTAGCAACTTTGTCCTCTAAATCTCTCAAAATTTGAAATAAAAAAGTAGCCGTTGCATGATTTTCTTCTATCCAATGCTAATGCCATATGAACCATACTAAATTCTACCATATATTGATCCAAATCTTTGTTGGATTTATTTTACAGTAACAATAGATTTCGAGGATCCTTCGTAGAGTGTTCAATAGATTTTCATAATCATCTCGATGCCATGAATCCAGGTCGTTGTGCCGCCTGTAGATATTTAAGAAGAAAATGTCCTCCCGACTGCATCTTCTCTCCTTACTTCCCGCCCAATGTCCCTCAAAGATTTGTCTCCGTCCACCGCATCTACGGCGCCAGCAACGTCGCGAAACTCCTCCAGGTAAACATCGGTTTTGAGATCAAAACGATATATGTCCATGTGGTCTGAGTTCGACCATCGTGTATGTATGCAGCAACTGTCACCCCATCTGCGAGCTGAAGCGGCGGAATCGCTGTGCATGGAGGTG